ATGACTTAATTTTTTTTTACAGCATCTTTTCATAAATTTAGCCGACCCCTATATCGGAATTTTTGCAGAAAATTTATTTTTCCAAAGATATATTGATTTAAACTTATGATAAAATTTGTAAAAATGCTGAATTCTTTTGTACTTAAAATTCATTATCTCCGGTTCTACTGATCGGATCGATTTCATTTTTTTTTTATTTTAAACCATATTACATATTCTTTTTAGATAAATATTTAAAAAATTTGTGTTTTGTTTATTATATGAAAAAAATATTTTTTTTTTGTATAAACAGATTTTTTGTGTTTGCCCCCTCTATGAAAAAAAATGAAAAAAATACTGTTCTATGCACTATTTATTACTGTACAAAAAGAATTTTTCAGAAAAATGGAGACTTTTTTGGATCGGAAGATATTAAATATTTTCGAGCGCGTGACCGGTACAAGCCGTAAGGGGGCATCCATTAATTACGTGAGGCGTTTAGGGGAGGGAGGGGGTCAAGCCAAATGTCATCAATTCTCACGTAAGGGAGAGGGGGGGTCTCGGCAAATATCACGTAATTTTTAACAAAGTATGTTTTTTAATAAATCCAACAGAATCAAGCAGTTTAACGTATAAACATTAAAAATAAGCATTTTTTAAAATCTCACGTGAGATTAGGGGGAGGGGGTTGAGCCAAATCTCACGACATCTCAGCAAGAGGGGAGGGGGTCAAAAAATCGCTAAAATTGACTCACGTAATTAATGGACACCCCCTAATCAGACATCTTCGAAACGCTAACACATTTAGGATAGTGTAAACTCATACATCGTTTTAAAAAAATACCAGCGCTTTTTGTAAATTAATTCTGATTTTAAAGGATTTTAATAATTTTAAATAAATTAAATTTTAAATAATACAAACTCCAATTAATGAGTAAATTTATTAACTGGCAGAATTGAAATTTGCACAAATAAGTCACCAATTAAAAGATGTCGAATCATGGCACTCTTATACAAAATATCACGTCACCCGCCACATGCACTAATACGTTTGAATATTACGCGCTTGACAGTCCTGTCACGCGCTCGAAAATGTTTAATATCTTCCGATCCAAAAGAGTCTCCACTGTTCTGAAAAATGTATTTTGTAGATAAAGAAAAAGCGCATAAAATAGTATTTTTTTCCTTTTATTTTATAGAGGGGGCAAACATGAAAAACTAGTTTAAAAAATTAATCTGTTATTAACTCCCTATAATTAAAAAAAAAAAATTTTATTTATTTGAAAAGCCTATTCAATAAGGTTTAAAACAAAAAAAAAACAAAATCGATCCGATCAGTAGAACCAGAGATAATGAGTTTTATGTAGAAGAGAATTCATCGTTTTATCGCAATTCATAAAAACTTTATATCAACATATCTCTGAAAAAACAAATTTTTTACAGAAAACCTGATACACGTATCTGCTTATTTACTGAATAGAAGCGGTAAAAAAATTTTCATGCGAATCCAAACCCTGAAGTCAAAATAGGTGTACGATTTGTAAAAGAATGTCTCAAATACGTACATATAAGTATACAAATACATACATATATGTAGAACTCATTTTTATTGTCAAAATGAAAAATATGGTTGTTATTCGCGAATTCACCACACTTAATCCAAGATTTGGATTTAAGCTTCCTATGGTCCGCGGCGAATTTCTAATTAGGCTAGCTAGGCTATACAATTTTCGTAAGCGGCAAATTTAAGATCGCGGAATTTTTTTCCGTGGCCACCAACAACTTCCTCGATTTCTTTTTACTCGGTTCTCAGTAATGGGCCGCAGTTTCTAAAATTTTAACAGAAAAGAAATATAGTATCAAGAGAGGTGAAAACGAATTCTACCTTTATAACCGCTTTATCAGTTAATCAGGCCTTAGACGAGTATTGGAGGTGTACAAATTTTATTGCATTTGCATAGTGATATTGTTTTTTCAGGAAATTTCTCCTTCAATTTATAGGACATTCTATTTCTATATAGAAAACTAACGTTTTTTTAAGAATCTGCAACTTAAATTAATAAAATTGTTTAAAAAATTGTTTTATTGCTATATAAATGGGTTTTGTCTTTTTACGAGTGCGAAAAGTGAGCCTAAATGTGCCTAATGTTCTTTATTGTACAGAGTTTATGGAATCGAGATTTATAAAAATCGGTTGCTACTTTCTGCTCTTAAAATAATTCAATTTTTTGTAACCACGTCACAGCAAGTTTTAAAATTTGAATATTCGCGCGCGTTGTAGCGCATCTGTCGCGATGTGTGGTATTTCCGCGGTGGTCTTTTAAATATTTTTCGTCATTATTCTTTTGTTTGTAAAACAAAAGCTTAATAACAAGTCGTGGTGGTGATTATTTAGTGCTCGTTGTATGCAGTCGTTTTAACAACCGCGAGTATTTTTGTGAATTTTCGACGAAATTGTAAAAAAACGCGATATTGCCTGTTATGTTTGGAGAAGATACTTCGGAATCGAAAAAACAAATTTTATCGAAGAATATATAATTGCGGCAATGAAGATGCACCTTCATTGTCGCAAGCTGTTGTTGATCTCCTTAAATATCCAAGTGGACCACTTCAAAAATCGAGTTATTTTGTGAAAATAGATAAAATAGGCTTAGAGGTAGAAATATAAGTGCAATCCAATTGGAATAAGAAAAATATGATTGAAATTGTTTCCATAAACACAACTTAGCTGCAGCTGTATATAGCCGGTTAGCTGGTTTTGTTATAAGAAATACTATATAGTTGTATACAGGGTATCCCAGAATATGTGGGCAATCTCCCGGATTCAAGAACACATAAAAATATTATGACAAGTTCCTATAATAAAAAATACCAAAATTTTAATGGTGGATAATGTTAAAACATGCTCTATATAATACATTTTTTTTAGATACTGCCTTGGCCTTTCCGATCTTTCCGGGTTACACAAAATATATATATTTTTAAATATTTTTTTCTTTTGCTTTTAAAAATATCTAAAACCGTGTGACTCGGAATTCTTATGATGAAATATGTTTAAACATGCCCTTAATAATTACTTTTTTTAAATTCGCTTTGGCCTTACCGATCTACCGAGATACACAAAACAAGTAAATAAGTAGAATATTTACTGGAATAAAAATTAGACAAGATTTAAATCTGTAAGCGCAAGGCGAATTTTGTCGATGAAAAATTCGATGAATTAAAATGTTGGTAATCACACGTAAACAGAATTTTAATTTGGCGCTAGTGCATAGTGCGGTTGTGTTACGTACTACTGCCACCAAGCTAAATAACATAACGTCAAAGTAACTATGCTCCACACCTCAAAGTCCCAACACGTGACTATGTACGGAACGCAGTCTTTTGAAAATTTGGCATTTAAGGCTTTTCAGGTTATGTATCTGTCAAAGTATAGTCAACGAAAAAAATAATATTATGTTTAGGCTTTAAAAATGTATAATTCTTTATAACATTACAATAACAATGGTTGGTTTAAGAAATTAGGAATATAAATACTGCATTTAATGAAATTCTAAAGTGTATGCTGCCAAATAAGTAATATTTTTGTGCATTTGGTCCAAATACCTAGTTTTCTCCATAAAATAATTTTAACTAAACAGCATTTATTAAAAAAAAATCTAACTTCTCTATTATGAAATAAGTATATCTGTATTAAAGGTAGGTTAATATATTATAACAAAAATATCATTTATTTTTTTAATTTTAAGGTTAGAAAAATTTATTTTGACCAAAATAAATAAGTATTTTGGATTATTTGAAAGACTCTATAATACGGTATTTAAAAATGTGGTAGTTTTTCTAACCCAGCTTAAAGTGTACCTACATAAAGTTTTGTAAATACAAATAGTTATAAATCTTCAACTGAATTTGATCTACATTGAAAAATCGTTATAACTTTAAAAATTTTAATAAATCACATGTCATGGCAGTCAATAAAAACCAATATTTTGATAAAAAGGATTTTCTTTATTTTTATTTCAATAAATTAATTAATAAATTAGGTAAGAAATTAAGGAAAGCTAAACAGGTAAGTAAATAAAATGGCAGCATTGAATTTAAATGCACCGTTGCTTATGTACCTTCGACGTTATGTGATTTCGCTTGGTGGCAGTAGTACGTAACACAACCGCACTATGCACTAGCGCCAAATTAAAATTATTCCAAAATTAATAATTTAAATTATTCCAAAAAATATTTATTATCTAAAAAAATACTTGGATTAAAAGAATTATGGCAGAAAGGTGCTTAAATGAAAATTCGTATTGCTGGATTTAAATCACATAATAATTAATAACAACTATACCACAACTTTATTCCCGTATAAAAAAATTTAAACAACAAAATAATTCGTATTAAAAGTAAATATTAAAAATTTTAAAAATAATTTTTTTTTATTTGTACAATAAAATTTTCAGTAATATTAAAAACATTTAAATATTAAAATAAATATTTGCGACATAATGATAATTTCAGTATTACTTTTTCTTAAATAAATGTTGCGCACCTTGAATTAACTGGCTAAGAAATTCGATGAATTAAAATTTTGGTTTACATAATTTCAATTTGACTTCGTGTTTCTCAAGTAGCGCCTTATTAAAATTATCTCAATCAAAATTTTAATTCATCGAATTTTTTAGTCAGAAAATACGCCATTCAGTTCCAGAATTAAAATTACTTTAATTCTTATTCTGTGCTTAAAATTGTGTACTTATATACCAAGACATCATAAAAATTTTACTTTAAAATGTTCAGTCAATTTTTAAAAACGCAACTTGAATTAATATTTAGCTTTAATAAACATGACATTAAAAAGTAAAACGGCTTGCCATAATATATTATAAGGCTTATTACGTAAATCATTAACAGAAGTCTGTATTTGCGTTTAAATATCAATTTAAAAATGTTTCATTTCAAAATAATGCAAATTCTATTATGATAATTTTAGAATCTAAAACCTTTAAGAAAGATATTCCACTAACCTTGTAATTAAACTGTCCGAACTGACGATTTCCGGCGTCAAAGTCACTTCAAGCTCAAGCTTAACATGATTTCCGCCAAACTCCGGATAAGTCTGCACGGTTTTCTCCGTCTCCTCCGGGCCGTTTTCGTTTTCCGTGACCCCCAAGGCGGCTGCAACCATGTCGGAGTCCATCTTCACGTCGTACGGCCAGTCGTTCGGCACCGGAAACGTGCCCTCCTCAAGCCTAACCTCCAACTCCTCTTGCATCGGTATCACTTCGACGTGTTCCTCGCCTAAACTGCTCGGCACTACCGGCACCGGCACCTCCAGGTTATGCAGCGGCGGCACTTGCAGCAGCTTCTCCGTGCTGGAGTCCACTAGACCCCAGCAGCATTCTTCGGGAGCTGTAAGCAAAAACGCACGTTAGGGGATCGTTTAGATGGCAAAACAATCAAATTAACGGTTGTTTATGATGAATATGTTTGGACATATGATACACGAAGGTTGTGACTGTTGCGAAAACAACGTGCACGGAGGTCCTCGACGAATGGAAAACTTTGTATATTTATGTTTTCAAATGGTTTTTTTTAAATCAATTTTGATTAAATTTAATTTTTATCTAAAGATAAAGTATTTAAAAATGCATGTTTAATTAAATAAAATCAATTAATGTTTTTATGGATTATATAAATAAAAAATGTTTATTATAAAACAATTTTATAAGCTTTATTTAATGGTTTTGCAAATCAGCAAAACGATATTTAAATAATTTACAAACAATTTATATTTCTAATATAATGTATATATATATATAAAATAGTGAGACAGTGGCGGCTCGTAAGGGCAGGCAAGGGGGTCTTAGCCTCCTCAAAATTTTTAACCATTTTACTTATTTTAATTATTTTATTTAAATATGTATTATATTTCAACTAAATAGCTTTTAAGTGATTAACGAGTAAAATTGTAATTCAATTTCCAATCATAATTATTACTACAATAATATCCTTTCGTAATAAATGAAAATACGGAACCGCGCTTTATAATCGGATTATATACCGGGTGAGTTTTTTAAAGTGTTACAAGGGGATATTTCAAAAACGGTTTAAAATTTTTTTGTAAAATTTTGGTAAACTAATGGAGAGGTGGGGGGACATACTTAAAAATAATTTTGCTATTTAAAATCTATTCTTTAAGTTCTCACGAACTGGACACGAGGGGGGCTGCAATAAGCAATTATAAGGTATAGCGTGGAGGCTATCCGCAGACCACAGACTGTGCCGAAGTTTATGACGGGATGATCGAGACCGTCACTGTCTAAGGGCTTATTTTAAACTAGCCGTGTTGGTAGAAATAACAATAAATGGTGCGTAAAAAATCCATACATTAGGCATTAAAGAGCCTAAAAGCGTCGATTAAAAACTTCTTATTCAATAAAAAAACGGACGTAGCGTATTTATGAGTAGGGACCTATTCTTGTTTTAATTTATTTGTTATAGTTATAATTACCTAGCTTTGAAAATAAGCATTAGAACACAACGAGGATGCTTACTTTATCAGGTAATTTGTCAGTTCAAATCAGTCTAATAAGTGTGTCCTTTTTGTTAATTTACATTTTGTCGTGTTTTGTATTGATGAACATGAAAAAATTGGAAAAAATTAAAATGTGGGGAGGTTGTAGAATGACTTGTTTTCTTTGTTAGGTATTAATTTTATTTGTAATTTATATTGTCTTTTCTTGGCGCCACAAACATTTCAGACTAGTTTTTTTTAATGGCGAAATCGTCTTAAAAAAATGTACAACACTTGCACTTTATTAGCGTCATTACTTCGACTGACCACGAGCCGATACTGGTTGGAGAAAGTATAAATTTTAAAAATATTATTATTTTTACTTTTAGTTTTTCACAAGTTCAATATTTAAAAAGGTTAATCTAAATTTTTATTAAAAAACAATTCTTTAAAAAATTGATTCTCAATATAGATGCGTTAATTTTGACGCGCAGTGTATTTTTGTTTAAAAACAATACAAATTTTAAGCACATTTGGCTGAAGGACCTTAGTTATTGGCCATTTGATCTAATATTGTATTATTAATTTATTAAAATGTGTCAATAAGGTTTAAAAAAAATAAATCTGTTTAAATGGCAAATACATGCATTTACTTCAAAATTGAATGCGGCATAAAGAGCAATTCTATTTCAAAACTATTTATGTTTTTTAACCTTATTAAATTTATTAATACCAAAATAAATTTTGTAGTTTTCAATATAAAAAATGTTCTCCAATAATACAGTTTTGCAATATTTAAAAATTCCATCCCAATACAAATTTAATCTAAAGTGCATAATTTAATTTAATTAAGATCTTACAATCTTTTTTCGTATTCGCGCATCACTTACCTCTGCTGACGTTTCCTCCAAACAAAGTGGCCTGGATGTCAACCTCGGTCCTTTCCTTCTCCAATTTCTCGCTGTCGGACAAAGAGATCTGCCCCGACTCCAACACGTACGTTTCCGCGTCCAAAAACCGATCTTCATTGGCGTCGTCTTCATCGTGAAGCGTGCGGTTTTCGAAGTTCGTCTCGGTGATCTGCTGAATCACCAGATCCGACTCTTCGACGCTGGCCTCCAGCTTTTCGGGGTCCTCGATGCTGTTTTCATCGCACGAAGTCTTCTCCAGTATGAGGGATTCCTGTTGGAGGATCAAAGTATTGGGGAGTATTTGAAAGGTGTCCTGATCTTGTTCTTGAGGAGGTTCAACGTCGTCTGGTTTCAAATCGTTGGGCTCCTCGCTGTTTGTGGTGGTCTCCGATTGGCCTGGAGTGCTTTGAGTTTCGGATATCACCAAATCGGGATTATCCGAGGTAAATGCCTCCAGTTCCTCAGATTTAATGTCGATGGAGGACGAATCGTCGGTCTCGTTTGTTTCCTCTTTGTAATCGGCGTGGAGTTGGAGGGAGTCCACCGTTTCTATGGTTTCATTGGAGGATATTTCCTCCATGTGTAGAATAATAGAGCTGGAACTGCTGCTATTTTCATCTGTAACCTTGTCTCTATCACAATATTCCTCATCTTGCTCCATAGGGCTCTCGTCTCTCTCATCTAGAGCAAGAGGATCCACTGAGGGTTCACTTTGTTCTTCTACAAATTCATCCTTAAAACTATTATCAACCTGAGATGGACTTGGTGTTCTTCTTTTGGGTGAATGTGGTTCACCCTCTGAGGACATTGATCTTCTTCTTTTTTCCCTACATATTATGATTGTCTCTTCATTTGTTGTCAGGATGGCATCGCTAATGTTAACTATGCTATTTTCATGTATTTCGACCACAGGACTATCAGTAGTTCTAAGTGGATCTACTTCGGTTTTAATAATATCAGACTTAATGTTTGTCTCTTCCTTTTGTACTTGGTTCTTTAATGATTTTATAGGTAGTAAATCAGGTATGGGTGATTTAACCTCAATAGGGTCAGTTTCAACCTTGACACTTGTGCAAGACCTGGTCATGACCCCAACAGTTCTTAGCCTTTTAACAGGAGGTGGTGCGGTTTTGCTTTTATTACTGGCATTTGTAGTAGAAGGACGTAGCTTTATGGTGGTTTTTATGGGTGGCCTACTGGCTGGTATTAATGATGATGAAGAATCACTTGAGTCAGTTTGGCAACTGCGATCTCCCCAGATTGGTTCAAAGTGTTTCAGTTTCCATGGATCCAATTTGCTTCTTTCTTTGTCAGCTTCAAGTTTTAACTTTTGCTGGTTTTCTGGTGTAAACTCTCCTTCTGCCAACCGATCTTGCCATTCTAGACATGCCCTTGCAAAAAACTCATTGTTTAATCCAGAACTATTAATGTCCAACGATGTAGGATCTGTTGAACTACTAACTACATGTCTATCAACACTGGGTAACAATTGCACTAGTTTGTTTTGATAAAGAAGTGGTAAAGATGCAAATGTGGCTTTGTTTAACAAAAGTCTTAGGTTTGTGTTAACTAGTATAGAGTCAGGGGTTTCTAAATCTATACAACCTTGCCTGGTTTGTTCGATTTGTGCTGCAGGTGATAATTTTTTGTTTGTACGTTTTCTGGGTTTAAGGGTAAAACCAGGTATGGATGAGAGGATTTCGCGCATTGTGGGAGTTTTAGTGGTAGGCACTGAGGTCGGTTCCTCCACTGGATGTGGAGCCATAGGTTTCACTATTATCCGCGGTACAGCAGGTAAATTTCCTGAAGCAATTGTGGTATTTTTTCTTCTTCGTTTAGCTTGTTGTCGAAGTGCATGTTTAATTGTTTTTTTGTTGTTATTGGTGCTATGCTTAACAACTTCTTTCACATCACTATTTACACTTGTATTATCCAAATTGTTAATGATTTTCTGATTGGCATCTTCAATTTCTTCTTCAGGATTTGAGTTACACCCACTTTTATCTAATTCTATTTCCTGAGTTACGTCTATTTCCATTACGGAACAACTAAAACTGGTTAGTCTATCGATAAGTTATTGCTTTTTTAAATTTTAACCAACACAGTCACAAAACAAAGCCCCTTAATAACTCCGAACTTTGATTCACCCCATTTTTAAACGTCGTCTGCTTGTACTACACCTAAATAAAATTAATATGTAATTCATGAAAAAACGTGACATCAAAACGAAAGCGAGATTTCTTCAAGAAATATTTTAATTCACAATTTTCTTTGGCATTAAAATGCCATCCGCCATTTCGTAACTGGGCCTTATAAAAACAGGGAAATGTTTTGTTACAACATGCGGCCCAAATCCCTAGATTTTTTAGGCAACCAAGAATACATATTATTGTTGTTTTATTAAAATCCACGGTTTGACCATCAAAATAATATAAAAAAAGGTTTATTCTGAAGGTGTTTATTTAAATTATTTTTTGTTTTAAGTCTACGTTTGGCTCTTTTTTGACTAGAAAAAATTTGGGCCGTCTTGGGCCGCTAGCAACCAAAGCAACCGAGAAGAGCCCAATTAGATCAATCGGTATAACAACCGACTGCATTACCCATTCAGAAAACATTTTGACAGTGCGGTACACGAAGAGCCGAATGGAAGTGTTGTGATTAATAAATAAAACAATGATTGTGGTTCACAACTATTTAGTGTATATTTTATAAGAAAAATATTTTTTTTGATGATTTACGAAGTTGGAGTTCCTAGAAGAAGGAATTTTCTTGTCCGGAATTCAAGGCGTAGGACTGTGGGTGTGCGGTGTTTTCTTTGATATCCTGATAATAATTATCAAGGTACACAAACCTTAGATAATGTGCAATAATTCGTGTAAACGGCTAATATTGGTTTTATATAAAAATGTTTAGAATATCAACATACACAATCTGTAAAGCAAATGAATGTATAAACAGTTGAAAGTAAACTTATATCAAAAAAATGGGCAACAAAAACAGCTGCTGTTCGTACTCCAGCCCTCAGCCCAGCCATAAAGTTATCATCCCCATTGATAGTACACATGAGGGTGAAGCTAGCATCAACAACATCCAGCACATCAGTGAAAGAGAGTGTTACGATGATGAATGTGACCCCTCTCAGGATCCCACAGCCAAAACAATTTTCATTGAACGATCAAAAACGGCTATCGAAAAAGGTATGATCAGAAGAAAAAGCCAAAACCAAATAGCAGACCTCAGACCACTTAAGAAAAGTAGTTCATGCTCAACAATCTACTTGGATGACAGTACTGTATCTCAACCAAATCTCAAAAACACAGTTAAATGTGTGGCTCTAGCAATATATTACCACATTAAAAATCGTGAGTTGCAAAGAGATATTGACATTTTTGATGAGAAATTGCATCCCTTAACCAGGGATGGCGTGAGTGATGACTATGATAAGCACAATCCAGAACATAGACAGATTTATAAATTTGTAAGGACTTTGTTTAATGCGGCCCAACTTACAGCTGAGTGTGCCATAATTACTCTAGTGTATTTAGAAAGACTTTTAACCTACGCTGAACTGGATATACAGCCTTCCAACTGGAAAAGAATAGTTTTAGGTTTGTATAGTTCTTTATTTAAAACCAATAATATTTTTAATTTTATATCAAAAGATTTATAATATACAAGAAGCATTAATACCAACCAAAATGAATTCTCCTTGTATATTATAAATCTATCTATTTAAAATTTATCCATATACCTATATTTTTTATATTGCTTGGATCAGGATTTATTGGGGTATCAATTTTTAATCTCTTAATACACTGTTAACAAAATAATTTAGAAAAATAAAGTCTTATCAGTTCATTAATAAAAATATTTATCAATATTGATTTAATCCTGGTGTTAACTTTAATTTATGTTTAATTGTGTAAAATCATTTTAAAATTAGGTAATTATTTAATATTAGCATGTCAATCAATATTTTATAGAATCAATAGTTTTATAAAAATAGTTATAATATCCTGATACAGGGTTGAAAAGTCATTACTTATAAAACAGTAAAAAGCGTTTTTTATCACTTTTTTAATTTATTATAATTTACAAAATTCAAACTCATAAATAAAATATTATTTATATTTAATTAAAGCGGAGATTCCTCAAGCGTGGAGTTTGGTAACACGCGAGTGGAATATCCTTTATTGACCAATAGTCGCACACAATATTTTATTCAACATTTTATTTATTTATTTTAACCACCAAAAAATAGTGCGTGAAGCAGCTTCTCGTGTATTGCATTCGGACTCAAACGTTGATGAACGTAAACGTTATTTAAATCAACCTTGATTTACAGCAGATCCATTTCAATTTTGGGACGAAAATAAAAAAATATTATCCACTGCTTTCAAAAGTATATATTCAATTATTTTCTGTAGTAGGCACATCTGTCCCTTAAAGGCGGGAAGTATATTGGATCCAAATAGAAACCGATTAAGTCTAACAAGATTTTGAAGATTGGCATTTGCAATAACATAATATACATAATACCGAGCATAATACTATTACAGTTGTGTTCGAAATACAAATATAGTATTTTTTTTTAATTTTAATAAAACATTGATTATTTGGACAGCCATTTATTTCTGAATCGATTCTTGGAGCTCCGAATAAATCGATACCGAGAATCGATCTATTTGAAAAAAATCGGCATCCCTATATTGAAGTACTCCAAGGAATTTAACTATGGTTTCGCGTAAAAACGAACAAATTTTGGACCTTTGTTTGCAAGTGATGCCAGAATTGAATATATATTTTTTAACCTTGTTTCTAGAGATGCGACTTGAAAAAAAGGTCCGTTTTTTTTCAGGTTTTTTTTTCATTGTTTTTTTCAAAGGGTTTTTTTTCATACTTTAGGTTTTTTTTCAAGATTAGTGCCATTTGCCTTTCTATATTTCCAGTCCACTAAATGACATTTAGTAAATGTAAATACAGTCGCTATGCACGCGCCACCACCACCGAATTTACCAATAAGGGCCGCGCTTGCTTTGATTTGGTAAAGTAACCTATAATAATTTTGATCCAGCGCTTGATTTTTCAAAAAGCTACCAAAAGCACTTTTTTCATGATTTTTCAAATTCATGTAGAGTATGGAAATTTTTTTTCCAAAAAAACCATAGCAAATTTTTGTAGAACATTTATTCATTGGTGGTTAAGTCAAAACATTCCGTGGACCAAAACCTAAAAAAATTTCGATTTTTTTTTATTACGGTATTCGTTAGGATTGAGCGATGCACGTTTTACATCTAAAAATCTCAAAACTAAAAACTTCAAGCTTCAAATTGCTTTTTTTACGGCTCCAACACGACCATTTTTAACGAAGTTACCGCTATCCGAAAATATCCTTTAATTTTTTCTATTAGTGTAGAAGTTTTACATTGCTATTTGTTTTTTATGTGAAAATTACCAAATAATAAGAAATCAGATTTATTTGTCTCGGTCCAAATTTTCAATAATGAAAAATTTATTATATTCTACATTTCACTTTATTATTAATATACATTTTACTAAAAATTCCATTTTGAAAAAATACTCAATTTTTTAAGATTGATGTTATTTATTGACAGAACATGCTTTATTGTAGCAGATTTGAAAAAAAAAATTAAAAAAAACGGTTTTTTTTTTTAGTTTTTTTTCATGTTTTTTTACATCTGAAAAAAAAACGTTTTTTTACATCTCTACTTGTTTCTACATCTGAATGGTACATTTAAAAAAAATTTCATCCATTGACCGCTGTGGGTTTTAGGCCTTAAGTTACTCTACTGTGTTAAAAATAGATAAATTTCGATATTTTGTAATAACATTTTTATTTAAAAAATATCGATTTGAAATTAATATAAAATGTAGACCTTATTAGTGACAATAAATCCACGTATAATTTTTTTTAGATTTTAACATGCAGGGGGCGCTGGGGACAATTTAATTTAAAATTTTATTATTTTTTAAGGGTATTTCCATTGTAACGGGTCCGGCACTAAAACTGCGTTTTTTATTATAATAAAGTGTTTGTTTTTATACAAGGTGTCCCTAAACTTATAATAGTGGCATAAATTTAGGAGCAGATTAAGCAAGTAAAAATTAGACGAAAATCTAAATAAATATTTTTCCTTATTATTTAGGTATGTTTAAAAGATACAGGGTGATAAAGTGTTACTTATCATATCAGTTTTTTTAATATAACTTCTATGGTAGACTTGGAAAGGTGATATTTTGCGAACTTACTACCAAAACACATATTCACACATAATTACAATTGTTCGAGGGTCTGCTTAAGCTTATTGTACCATACAAACTTTGAGGTTAGGTTTTTATACCAACGTAACGTCGGCGACGCAAAACCTACTTAACATTTTGTCATAATTTTATAGCCTCATACCGGGTAAGTAAAAGGAACCGGAACGCTTAAAATGTCTTAAAACCGTTAAAAGGTAATAGAAAAAACTATATACATACCTCAGGAGGAAAATGAATTTCCTCCCTTGAATATTTAATGCCCTTCGCTTCGCGTCGGGCATCAAACTATTCGCGGGAGGAAATGCAATATTTTCCTCCCATGGTATGTAAATAGCTATTATTAAAGTCTTTTTATATTTTAATGCACATTTTAATTTCAAATGTCAAACTGACAATTCGTTAAATCCTAAAATTTTTTCTCACTAAATAGGTATAACTCGTGGTATGATTAATTATCGATGATATTTACTCATTGAAACCGAAGCAGCACATTTCACTCATCCTGTGAAATCTGCAGCTCGGTTTCAATTAGAAAATATCATAGATGATAATCATACCACTTGTTATATTATGGGTGAGTATATCACGTTGAAGTACTTATAATTAACTATTATTTGATATATAAACTTCTACATGCAAATTATGTTTCTACGAGAGACACCATTTTTAAGTTAGGCCTTCAAAGGGCATAATACTAACGTGTTTTACAAAGTATATATTCTTTTATCTAGTTTTATAAGATAATATACCGGGTGTATCTGAAAATAGGCGCACCCCTGTAACTTTTTTATTTATAAAGATAGACACATGAAATTTTGCATGGTTAATTAGGATATAAAATGCCACTTATAAGAGTACAAAATGAATTTTTTGAACTTACGGTTTCGCCGAAAATGATACCAACTTTCGATTTTTAAATGGAATGCCCTATATATTTTTACATATTTTGAATCCTGAGGAAATTCTGAGTCAGGCATCCTTAAATTGACCTTTTGACGTTTTGTCATCAAAAAATGTATAATCATAAAAATCAATCTAGAGTGCTTTGAACTATCTTATTTTCTTCTAATGGATTCACACCACATACCAGGTCTGTGCTTCACACAATGCCTGAAAAATGAAACTTGCCTTAGAAAGTTGTTATTCAGCTATTCCCAGCAGTCTAAAATTGTCAATTTCGTTTTTCTCAAATGGTTCAAAGCACTCTAGATTGATCTTGATGCATTTTCTGATGACGAAACATCGAAAGGTCAATTTGAAGATGCTGTCCGACTCAGAATTTTCTCAGGATTCTAAATATGTAAAAATATATGGGGCATTCCATTTAAAAATCGAAAGTTGATATCATTTCCGGCGAAACCGGTTCTCTCAGTTCAAAAAATTCATTTTGTACTCTTATAAGTGGCATTTTATATCCTAAATAACCATGCTAAATTTCATGTGTCTATCTTTATAAATAAAAAAGTTACGGTGAAGGTGAGCCTATTCTTAGAATCTGAGAATAGGCTCAGATACACCCTGTATTGTATATTACATATTATACACTATATATTACATATAATATATTATATATAACATACAATTCTTATTATATTTATTTTAAAAATCGCCATAGATGGAGCTAAGATTACTTTTATTTATAAATTTTAAATTTTTTCAAGTTTACTAAATTTGATCATAGTAGGGCATCATAGACTTTTCTCATTGGGAGCATGAAATATAATTTGACAGTTAAGTTTATAAGTTGCAAATGACTGATTGCGTTTCAATTTAAAAGTGTACTATAAACTCAAAACATTAAGCTTCAATTTATTTTTTACTCGATAAGCAAACTTCAATTTTAATTCCAAACTGAGGAAAGTAATATTTACTATATGTATATAATATATATTATATCTAAATAGCCGATTGCAACATAAAAAATAAAGTCTTTATTCCAATTTATTTATTGGGTACATAATATAATAAAAAATATACATACATATTATGTATGTATATTTTTTATTCAGTTTTTCGCTTTTTTGTATTTAGTTATTATGCATTTTTATAATTTAAAATAATGCCATACAGGGTGTTTCTGGAGAAACGCAAACGATATGGATTTAAAATTTTAATAGCATATACAATTTGATTTAGACTACACCTAAAGCCAATAGTTTTTAAGATATTAATTTTTTTCGTTAAAATTTTGCTAAATGCCCTTTAATCAAAAATAGCCTCTAATTTTTTTTGTTATTAGGTTTGCTGACATGGGGTTGGAATTTTTGGAAAATTAAAACATTCTTTAAATAATTTAATTTTTTAAATGTTTTTCAACAAATAGCTT